TAATAGTAATGAAATTACGTAACGCATTTCAAACAAAGTAACGCGTTACTCTCGTTACGTTACTACCCAACACTGTTCATTAGTTATAAGTTCGTTGTGTTTTTTGAAAAATATTGTTAAATAACTGATCAACAATACACGTTAGTTATGATTTTTGGTAGTGTGTACTTAGTATGTTATTAATATTATTGTTCCTACATATATTTCACTTGCCTGTCCATGATTTGCAATTATTAATCCATTCGCTTATTTATTATGTTGAAAGTTACCTAACGTACTGGGACCTTTCGGTATGCAATAGTACTATATAAATGCCATGAACCAATTAGGTTACATAAACAAACAAAAAATGTGGTTAAACAACGAATAAAAATTGGATTTTACAGTACCTACATAATTTTAGATTTAAACCGGATATGGCTATTATTGAATTTTCTACCTTTGATGATGTTTGATTTTTTGTTTTCAGTAAACTGTTCAAAGAGCAATACAAAAGAAGTCCAAAGAGTTTTATTCAGTATATCCGTGGGTCGAAAATTGGACATATTGAAATTATTCAAGTGGAGATAATTTTTAAATTTCCTGGAAGTTTTCAGGAAAATCACAAAAAATCGTGATAAAAACCGAATCAAACATCCTTAGAGTTAAACAGAATATCGATATTTTTTCTATTTGACTAGGTATTCGACATGAGAGTTCTCACACTGGTTACCACCACTCTCCTCGTGTTACTTCATATTTTTTATATTTAATACAATGAAATTTACCTCATAATTTAAAATATTATTAAAAAGAAGTTTATCTAATTTAATTATTATATTGTGTAAAATAAATATTAGAGATTGTAAAATTATATATTTCAGATTGTAAATATTTAATAATAACAAAAAGTTTTTCGCTTAAAATCGGTAGCATAATTTATTATATATTATAGGTTTTTACTATTATATAGTAGGTATGTATTATGTATATCAAATCATTAACCATTTTGCTTTCAACAAAAAAATCGCAAAATGTAAAGTCGTTGGAGATTTTATCTCGTTTATCCTTGGATTTTCCGAGGTCAATGGAGAAAAGTTTGAAATTGGTAATAGCGTGTTATTGATGGTTGGGTAAGCGACACGAGAGAGGTTTTAGTTTTGAAAAATTAAAATAAATTATTACCAACTTCTAAGCTATATGATATTATGTCGACGCACGGGTTACTAATTGAACCGAGTTCTAGGAGCTTTCATTAAATTCACATGTATACCTATGATTTCAAATTTTCTTTCGAGTTATTTTAGCTTACGTATTACTAAGAGGTAATATGATAACAATTTTCAAGTCGTAAAAATCTTCTCGGAAACTAAAATACAATAACCGTACACATTTCCTGAAACTCATCGCTGTACCCTTAGTTCCTTTGGCAATACGAATTTATCCTAAGAAAATATTTAAAGTAACATCTGACCATTTTTATTTTTAATTTCTTAGAGAACGGGCGAAATCGGATAATAATCTAATACTTCTCTTCGTGGGATACATCACGCTGCCAGTATAAAATATGGAATTTAGAATATTATGGAATTCGCCGTGTTCAGTTACCGAGAAAGAAACGGGGAAAAAAATGTTCATGACTGACGAATGTCATACGGTATTATGTTGTCATGCATGTATAATACAATATAAATTATAATGTTGTATCACTAAAATATTTGCGATTTACATATTTTATCAGCCATGACGTAATCGTAGTCGTCTACGGAATGTATTTAAACGAAACCGATTGTACGTATTTGAAACACGCGCGTCACGTGTTTTCGTTAGTCGAAAGCGACTGTTATCAAGGAGTCGGCCGACCTAATATATTATTTTTTTAACTTAAAAACATTTAGCGTTATTTGCAACGAGTTCATTGTAGTCGTAATTACAAAATAATAGTTGTGTTATGACAATGATACCGATGGCTTTAACGTAAACGTAAATATTATTCGTGGAAATTATAAAATTGTTTAGTGAATATAATGATAATTGGCAATAATAATTACAGAAATATTTTTTTTTCAATCCAAGTTTGCTTTGTATGAGTTTGATAAAATAGAATAAACCAAGACCATGAAGAACGTATCTTCTTCTAAGTTTTTCATGATCGTGGGATAACATTTTCGGTAACGATTAATACATTGAGTAAGTATAATAAACATATTATGATAATTAATATTATTGTTGGCGTGGTTGTTGTGATAATATTGAAATCAACATAAAACTTGGTACGTTGATGAAATTTGACAATTAGTGTTTACAATGCGTCAATTATGTGCATAAACAATGAAATAATACGAAAGAAGCGGTTTTTAAAAATATTAAATAAGTATGTAATCTAAATAATGTCTATACATTATTTCGTGTAGGGTTAAATAACACAACAGATACAATTAGGTATATTGATTGTTCATCACTTTATCAATCATTATCATCATAATATCATTATTATTTTGAGCTTTTACGTGCGACAACAGTTAGCGAATGTGCGTAATAGATGATTGCTACATTGCAGTCAGCTGGCTGCACATTCATGATCGATTCTTCATAGAAATATCATTATTTTCGAAGGTCTATCGCTGTAATTAGAATAGATTTTTCACGAAACATTTTCATCACATCGAATAAGCCATTGCCAAAAACTCGATTTACCGAGATTTATTGAGAGTATTTTATGCTGCGGCTCCGTGCCTGATTTACCAACTGGAGACCTTTAGTCGTTGACATTTTTTCCGAGAAAAACCAACGTAAATAAGCCTAATGGCCACCTAGCTATATCGTGTGAAACATTTGCGAGATTTTAGTTCACTCCATCACGAGGGTGACACGTTGGGCCACACTCAAACCGACAAATCACACGCGAAAGAAATTTAAGAGAAAAATTGATGCAGATTCGATATTTAAAAAATAAATGGAGACGTAGCTGATGTCTGCGTCAGTAATTTGAATCATCGTATTCGGCGTTTTAATTCAATATCATAATTACCGACATTTCCCCTTAGAATATGTATATTTTAAAAACAAATGAAATTAAAGCTACGGCCTCAAGTAGAGTTATCATACATAGTTATGGATATTGCGCCCCAAAAGTTTGTGTCAAATTAGAATATTGAGCTGGTTATCTAAATGGTTTAGTACATCTTAGAAGTACACCGGTCGAGGTTATTCATGGACGTGAATATGTGGAGCTGCATCATAATTTTCAGCACGATATTTATAAGCAATCGTTATTGTGCAGTTGATAGTTTTTCCGGTGCTCGAAGGGTCATAGATTTTTAGAGCATACTAAGTGCTTTCCATTTACTTGCATCCCTTCTGTTAACTATCGTCTCGTAACCTAATCATTTTACCTACCTTTCCATTGCAATGTGTTTGGTATTAAATCTCGAAGTAACTTCTCGTTCATTAATTATTGGAAATTGAGGATTTTAAAGAGCTGATTGTTCGTTTAACATATTAACTACAAATAAATGTTGAACCTTTTTTTCTATCTATTTTGTTACTCTTGTGTTATTTGTTGACTCTTTTTCGTAGACTTTACGGTTGGGTTTAGAATTTACTTTTTTCGAAAAGTCGTTTACGCTGGTGACCAATAAAATCATCGCAATAAAATGATATTTTCTTTTAAAATTAAGTATTAACGATTATTGTTTACTCTTTCCTAATGGATTATATAAATCGATAACTAAAATAAACCTTCACAAGGTAACTCAAATGTTAAAGAGGACATCGGTATATTATACTGAATACGTATACTTCATTTACGTACCATTGAAAATCTATGTCCAGCAGCTCACGTTCTGTTTTGATAGTTATCACCATTTTTTTAAAATGTATATGTTGCAACTTAGTAAGTCTTCATAGTAATTTATTCGATATTTTAATTTTGAAGTAAGTTCAAATGTTTATAAATATTGTCACATTTTACGCACTTATAACAAAATAGGTTTGATAAAACACATGATGTATAACCTAATTATTAATTTTCAATCTGGCTAAATTCCATAGTGTTTTGGACCATTTTCAAAAAAAAGGAGGAAGTAGGTAACCGCTTTACTGCAAGGAAGAGTCAAGTGTACTTCGTTATTGAGTAGGTCACTGTAATTGATGTGGACAATATTACGAAAAATGTTTCTAAGCGGAAACAGTCGATCAGTCTATTATCATGAAAAATATTGTGCAATTAATTATTATGATAATATATTTAACATTTATTGTAAATGGTAATACTATATAATCTATAAATAGGCAATAGCATAAAACTAATCTGTGTAATTCATTTTAAATCCTCACAAAAAATATCGAATTTTGTTTAAACTTTAAAGTTTGAAAATATAATGTCTTTGAAGGAAAAAAGTTGAAATATTTTTAGAATTTTTTGGTTGCAGCATGAACTACTATTATGAATTATGATTTATGAGGAACCTTGTGTTATAGTTTTAGTTCTTTTGACCCTGCTTAACCATTTTTATTGACATTTATAGAAAAAAGACTTTAATAAAATGTTTATAAATAATAAAATATATTTTGAAAAGGTTTTCATGTAATTCCTATACGATTGTTAAACGATATACGAACAATTGGGATAACTGTCGAAACTTGTATGAAGAACAATAATAAATTATTCTCATTTCAATAGAATATTTAAAAGAAAAGCGCATTCGTGGTGCGATTTAAATATGCTTTATCGATTAATACAAACATTTTATTATATATAGATACACACTATTATAGTAATTTTACAAAACAAACTTTAAATCTATACACTTAAACTCAACCAAACACAGAAAATAAAAAAATAAGCCCATTTATTCAGATGATTTCTGAAACGTAAGTAAATTATAATCCGACGGCGCACGACGAACATTCGTAGAATATTTCAGTGATTTTAATCGAAAACGGTACATCTGTTAGAATAATGCAAGCACAGAAAAAAAATAAAGTTATACTTAAATTGTTTCATCCCTTTCACTTACCACTGTCGTCAATATGACAAGGCAGAACAGCACTATCAACAAGTAGTCGGTGAGGTGTCTGTCTCTGAACAAATCGTGTGGACCAGTTGAAGTAGAGTTGGCGGAACCTTTGGCAGTGTCATTACCAGCCGAGGACGAGTTCATCTCGAACCTCTAAAATATAATGTAAAAAAACACCAGATATTATAACACACAAGCGTTTCTGAATTTTTATTGAGAGTTAAAAAATATTGCCACCATTCGAAGACAAGTTAGTTTCTTGAAAACGTAGCTGATTCTGAATATAACTTTGCATTACTACATATTAGATCCAATGAATCAAGTTTTAAATACGATTTTGTTTTTTCTCATGATGGCCACACTGTAAAATTCTGTCATTATGCGTAACTTTAAGGTGCAGGGTAGATAGCCTTAATATATAATATATAGCCTCATTATCTAGGTTCTCTAGTGGAGGGTATTGATGAATACTATATTATTTGTTATATAAATGTAGTTATTTATAGATAAATCGGACTAATCGATAATATTTGGTCCACTATACATCCACTATTGTACTACAACCCATAGCGTTATTGTACTTCAGTATCCAAGAGATCCATTGTAAAATATTTTAACTTGAAAAAACATGGACATTTTGTATGCAATAATTGTCTTTAAACAAAGTTATTTTTCTTAAAATTTAATTTATTTGTTGTAAAACAAATTATTTTATTCATGTTATTTTTCAAAATTGTATACAAATATTTATATAATAAATAAAAAGCGAATTGTTTATTATGTTATGTTATAATACATTTGTTGAAAATAAATGTTCTAGAAGTATATTTTTGAAATTTAGTAAAATTATGGTATGATTTGAAATAAATTTGAGAAACTGGGTCCGAGAGACCCAGTTGAGTAGTAGTAGTATAACATTTGTCTAGTGAAAGAATAATATATGTTTACAAGGAATAAATCATTGTTCGTATTATAATAATTTTTAATTCGTAAATTTTGGTGAGTGTAAAGACAAAACTATTTTTTCTCTCTACATATTTCGCCAATTAAAATTTTAAATAATTCACTATTATATATAATATGTAGCTATATATAAAAGAAACAATTCCTGCTTCACTCTCATTGTACGCCATTATGGTTTATTTGAGAATAGACAAGTTAAAAAAATTAAACAATGTTTTTCAGAACTGTACATACATTATTATATAATTATCATCATTAAGTTTTTTCCTCTCGACATTTTTGATATTTAAAGCAAGGCACGACTAACGAGTATGATTCAGACGTTATCATACAATATCGAATATTACGATATTGGAACAAATCAAATAGTGCATATTGTACAAGGGAACACCATTCGATTATTTAAACAATGATTCCAATCATACTTTTGATTTTAGTTGAATATCATAATCAAGATGCAAATGCCATTTTTATTGTACTAATGTTTAAGCGTTTCATAATCAAAACAGTAGCTTATCCAGTTATTCTAATCAGTTGTCGTAGATTTCAAATGATAACCTTTCGTAGATATTTCTATCCATTCAGTATAAGTCTTAAGCTAATGAACAAACGCGGGAGAACTAATAACCAATTACAGAAAATAATAATAGAATGTACATAATATTACGAAGTAATTATTAGTTAAGTAAAAATAAAGCAAACAAAGTTGTACGTATTCTTTTTTTTACTTAACTTGGATAAAATGGATAAAAGAGAATAAATCAATTTTTTGATTTTTATGCAGTCTTTTAAAAAAATAGTAGTTAATTACATTTAATTTGTGTATTTATTCTTGTTTTAAATTATCTATAAGATGAAAAAGACATTATAACGAATACAGAAATGAGTCATGAGTTTTTTCATTTACTAAAAGTAGTGAGTTTTTCCTTTTTTTTTTCTTATGCCCGACCATCGTTAATTTTATAATACGACTTATATTGAGGTTTATAATAAATTAAGCTAAATTATCGGCTTGCTATTAAATATTGTGTCTGTAATATAAGTGTTAAAATCTGTATCGGTTTAACACAATATAAGTACTAATACTACCCACAAATATCACCCTTAGTTTTTAAATTCTGTAACTTATAGAAAGTATAATAATATGTATAGTATCGTAAATCGTAATTTATTGCTTACAAATAATAGTATAACGATTCCCTGATACGTTTTCCAACAATAATTTTTAACACGGCGATATATATAGGCAATTTAGGTACACCAGCCTCGTGACTACTTAACAATAATCAAACTTTATTGCATTGCACAGCATTACTTAAATTTAATTCATTAGTTTGTCCTATTTATTTTATTACAGAACCGGTCGCTGTCCAAAGTACAGATAACTTATGTATTTAAACATATTAAACATATAAATAAAAATGTTTGCCAAAAAAATGTACACTGAAACCAATATAAATTCAATAGAAAAGATTGCTAGTTAAAGAAAAAAAAATATTGGCAATGCGCATCATTCCATAAATTGGTAGGTTGCTGATAATTTATTATTATTGATACAATAATTTCTATGTACATTTTTAATATAATATGGCATCTTAAATTAACATTCTACTTAAATCAAAACATAGTTTGGTAAAAATAATTTTTTTTTAAATTAATTATTTTGTATTTAACGGTTTGAAACGTATAAGATAAAATATATTTTCAACAGTTTTATTCATTTTATTTCTCATTTTTTATATAATCAAATTTAATCACGTGAAGTATTATACTTGATATTGCTTTGTACAAATTTATGAGAACAATATATTATTTAATACTGTTAGAAATGTGGTTTGTGGTTTTTTATATATCCACACACACCAATTTTTACACATTATTGCGTAACACATATTCTATCATCGAAATGGAAAATTACTAAAGTGTTTAATAATAATAAATTTCATGAAAATAGGTCAACTATAATGTTGCGGCTTTAAATGGTAGATTATACGTGATTTTTCTCGGTAAAACGTATAATGTTATGAAAGATAACAATGCTATCTTTATCAATCTAACACAGCTGAACAATTTTCTATATAAACGTCAATGAAATATCAATGGAGAATGGTTTTTTTAAGTGTATAATACTACAATAGTGTGATACAAATCTATTATTTTCATTACGTTTTCAAACAATTTAAATGTTTAAACATTTTCCTGCAATTATAACTGCTATGGTCCGATAATTTAAACTATTTATCAATATTCTCGCAAAAAGAGTTGAACGCATGTTAGTTGTTACCCGTACGGTTAATGCGCCATTACGTATCGTTATGTAATGTCGTCATGTATATCATTGGTTTTATATTATCTAAATAACTTAAACGTCAGAGGGTTCAAACAACAAACGATATTATTAATTTTGACTTTGGAAATTAAATTAAAATAGTTTTAAGTTATTTTTGAATACTACGTAGCCATGAAAACTGCGTAGGTGAGTCGTCCTGTCACCAGTAAGTCATCATTTTCCCGCCTGACCAATTTTATTTTCAACAACGTCATTGCATACCTAAATAAAAAATTTGGTTTTGGGTTCAAGTGAAAGTGACCCATTTTTTTAAGATAGTACAAGTTCATTGAAATCGAGTAAAAAGAAAGTTATGATGAATTACGGGTGCTAGAAAAACTCACCTCAAATTTCTCAACAAAAGTACTTATTATGTAAATATAATACACCGGTCATGATACAACGACAATAATAAATCGTTGAGTTCGGAAATTAATTTTCAGTTCTAACTTGAGTAGTCTGCAGTTATTGTGGCTGTTGACTTATTGGCAGAAAAACTCTATTAAAAGAACGAGCTCTTGAATTATACACCGTAACTACTATGTTAATGATTTATATTTAGCTACGAAGCTATCAAATATTTCGTTTAAAAAAAGTTTTTAGGAAAAAAGAATCAAAATCGAAACAAAAACAACGATAAATTTATCGTACCGCTGGTTCAGTATCTAATACGCGCAATTTTCGAACAAAGAAAATTAAAACCGTTGATGAATACTAATAATTTTTTATTTCTCGTCATAGGTACCTAAAACTGTATTACCGAAAAATTTTTAGCCTGATACGCGTAAACCGTACATAAAATGTGTCCTGTAATCACCGTCACCTACTAAATCACACTTGCCCGTTCTTGAATGTTAGAATCGAACAGAAGAAACATCCACGAAAGTAATGGAAATATAATTCCTATAACACGCACCACTACTCATGCCTTAAAAATATATGTATACGAATTTCCGCTGTTGCCTTAAGTAGTTTAAATCAGACTTACCCCAGGTTTAAAGTTTTTTCAGTGACTATACCGAGGTCCAAATAACCTTATAAATCAGTGTGGCGAGCGACAGCCGCGTCTTAACGCGTGTGCTCTTTTATTCGGAACAATGATAACGCCACATAAATTCAACATGGAAGTGAACATTTTTTTAAAAGTCCTACCTGTCTTGGACATAATCGTTGTACGATCGACGAAACTTTACGAAATAAGATAGTACAAACACAATTTAAAAGTATTATTTGATTATAATATATAATATAGCCGATCTGCGATTAATATTTAATACCATATACTAACTTGATTAGCAAAGTTAACTCGACTTAAGAAACTAACATGTATCAGTTGATAGCTGTTGTCAAATAATATGTGTACCAAATACGGTTAAAACTATTCGCTTAGCCCAGTAGAAAAAAAAATAACAATAATAATTAACCAATTTGTTGAGAAGCCGCTAGCCACCTGTAATTTGTAGTGCGAAAACAGGATTTGTTTGGGTTGCTTGCTCTTAAGCATTTATCTTAGTTAATGAGTAATGACGTAAACTGTAGTAGTTTGGGAAATAATTAACTAGATGTTTATTTTTTGGCTGCATAAAGATTTAATGAATCAAATGCTAAATTGCATGGTCTCTTAAGCACGATTTAGTGGCTCGTTTTGGTATTTGTCTATGTATTCATCCGTCATTTATCAACTTACTATAAATTATAAAAAAAATTACAACTTGTATGCCCTCATAACTTGTATCCAAATTACGATATTACCAAAAACTTTCTACTGCGATCTTGGGATAATAAATCTTACTATAAGATTTGATACCGATGAAGTCAATTCACTGCAGCTCAGTGTTAAAAAATGGATTGTTCTACGAAC